TCTAATTAAGCTTAAATTATATATATATTTTTTTAAGTTCCTCCATATTTAATTATTAGTACAACTTATTTAACGAAAAGTACTTGAACACACTAAATGACAAGGGAATTTGTGCACAAGCTTGCTAGCATTTCTGTTCACCGTGGTTTTTACACAAGGACCTGAGTTTTAAATTAGTTGTTATGTTTTGCTTCTTCACACTTGAATCATATAATTTTATAAACTAATGTTTTCAAATATTTTTTAATCATATGCTTGACTTATTAGCAGATTCTGTCCAAGTTCCAAGCTTGAAAGACAAGCTAAGCATTGCATTACAATTTTCTAGTCCAAATCTAGAAACCACAACAGGTTGTTGTCAATTGTCATCAATATTCTAAACGCATACACTTGTTTAGACGAAAATTGTTGTACAACATTGAATCTTAGAAATTGGAGATTTATTTCAATTTATTATTTATATTACAATACTATTTGATTTAGAGGTGTCGAGCTAATTTATAAAATATTAAAATAAATTAAGTTAATAAATGAACGAATTATTACTTCATTAAATCTTATTAGATTGAAGTGAGTTGGGTTGTAATGAGTTAAAAATTGAGTCATAACTCAATCTGTTCAATTTTTCTTAAATTTTAAATTCAAAGATTGATTTTTTTCTATAATTTATTTGAGTACCTAATAAATTGTCTCTTATATTATGATTAAAAAAATATTTTAAAAAATATATATAGACAAATTTTTCATGAATCAATATGAGTTGCATATCCACATTGTTTTAAATGATTTTGTCAAGTGCAAAGTTGGTACTAGCAATATGTCATATGCATATCAATTTACATCTAGCAATATATTATGTGCACAATTAGAATTAAAGAATTGCCAAAAAGGAAAGAAATATCTTTTTAAAATGAACTAAAAAAATGTAAGACAAATTAACAATTTAAAACAGAAGAAATATTAAAAGAAATTGGCTAAAATCATCTCTGAAGTATGACATAAATCTAAAGTACATCCTTGTATTATATAAGTGAACAAAAACATCCTTATACTATCCAAAAAAGTTGCAAGATTCATTCTTTTGTCTATTTTTTTTAAAAAAAAACTCACGCCACCAACAAAAAAAAATATGTCAAGTCGAATGAATATTTGTACACATGATTAAGCTAGTCAAATTGGGTGATTTTGCTAATTTTTAGATATTGAGTGTTTAAATCATATTCAGATAAAATATATTCAAATTTTAACAACTCCAACTTCAAAAATTTCAAATAAAGTAATTATATTTTTTTCATAACTAAACGGCTACGTAATTTCACTAAATTTCCAACATTTCTATACATTGTATAAAATGTGAATTGCATTGTAAAATGTATTTTTTTTTACATAATCTTTATTGCCATTAGAATCTACTGTATAAATATTTCAAGACTTGTGTATTGTTGCAAGTCAATTTACTTGATAATACAAAAAACATAGAAACTAACAACACGCAAAATTTAAATTCTGAGAATGAAAGATTCATTTCCTATCCATATCCTAATTCTTTTTAGGTAACTTTGATCTTCTTGTCGTGGCTAAGAAATGATGAACAAATAAAAGAAAATAAAAATTATTGATTCAATCAGCTTCTTAATTACAAAAATAATCTGAAGAATGATTCTTGTTATTTTTGGGATATTATAAAAATGTTTTTTGTTCACTTTAGATAATATAAATATGTACATTATATTCGAGTCATAGTTGAAGGATAATTTTAGCCAACAACTCTAAATATTAACTTAAGATCGTCATAAAAGCTCAGAAATTTCAAATTCTAAATTCATATCTACTTGAACTCAAGTTATGAAAATGAAGAAATCCGATTTGAAAAATGCTTTCCTAGTAATATAAATTTAAATTAATCGAATTAGGTATTTTATTTTATATTTGACCTTTTCAATATTCCATCTGTGGTGAAGTTTCAGGGGGTCCCCCCCCCCCCCCCCCACGTGGATATCATTGTCAGCAAACCATGTCACGTGGATACGTGGGCCCATTTTACCAATTTGATTTATATTCAGAGAATTTACCTACAACCAAAAATAAATTGGAACTTATCTATTTAAAATCTCGATAGTCTATGGAATTCGCCCGCAAATCGGGCTTCAACATTTAATATTACAGTTGCAGAGATATACACACATTTTTACTTTCAATTTATATAAAAAGAATATGATTCTTTTTCCAAAAAAAATAATTAAATAGTTTCCAAAAATATGATATGGTTGAATTTGTATAAGGTTAAGGACATGTGTTCTGATGGTATTGATTTTACTCGTTAGGTTTAATTATTATTTATTAGCAATTAAATATGTTTTTGTACGTAAGCAAAAAATGAAATAAAGATAATGAAAAGAAAGTTGTATGGACTAATGGATCCCAAATGATATTCGTTTTCACTAGATTCAGTGATGTTTGAGTGTTATTAGCTTCAGATTCGAAAATGGTTAAGTAAGTCATTGTTAAAGTAAAGACAACGCAAATATGAAAAGCTTAGAGCACAAGAGTGTAAGTGTATTTCTGGTGTATTACTTAATTAGTATCAAATACCTTATATAATTGTATTAAAACTATAATTTTTAAGTTTCTAAAAGTAATATGTCAACCAATGAAAAAGCTATACTCAAACTCTAAAGTATTATGATCAAGTGATTATTATTCGCGTGAAAATGACATTAGTAGTGCTACCTAATATTATAAGAAAATAACTATATGTCAGGCAAAATGAAGCTTATTTCACACCTCACTTTAGTGCTATATAACATATAAGGGCTAAATTTAACACAAAAGGTGAGATACAAAGAACAAGCTAGAGTTGAAAATATATTTCTACTTAATGTCAAGCTTATAAAAGAGAATAACATACGTTATAACTCTTTTAGGTCTAGTATTAAAGAAAACAAGTATTGTTGTAAATCCACCTAACCACTATTGAACATATCAGGAGGTAGACGAACATAAATAACTAGAGATTCTAAATAATTTATTGTCTTCAATGTACCAATAATTATATGTAAGGGATCATGTATTACAAAAATAATGCATTTATTAGCCTGAGATATTATTAGTACCTTATATGGTACTTCCCTGTTCAACAATAGTTGTTTGTTATATTAAAAATAGTTGTCTAACAATACTTGTTCAATTTAGATTAGGAGTGTGCATTATTTGGATTAAATTGAAAAATCAAACTGAATTCTAATTTGGATTGGTTTTTTGGATTTTTGGTTTGGTTTTGGATTAATAATTTACTTTGTTTGATGTTTTGGTTTGGTTTCGGATTTAGAAAAAAAAAAAAAAACCGAATTATATATATATATATATAATGTTTAGAATTAAGTTGGAGTTAACCACTTTTGTCCCTTTTTAGTTATTTTCATTATGATTTAGTTTATTTTTTATGTTTGGACATCTATAATTGATATACTTTTAAGTATTGTGTTTTACATTTTACTCGTGATTTATATTAAAAAGTATATTTAAGAAATTCAATTTATATATATATATATATATATTATTTTTTATTTTTTTCAAACTGCAAATATAACTTTGTTATGTTTCTAATTATTGACATAACCGATTAACCGAATTGAAAAAATCCAAATCAAACCAAATTTATTTTGGTTCGGATTGGGTTACACTTCTTCAAAAACCCAAATTGAATAGTTCAAAACCAAATCGAAAAACCGAATGCACACCCCTAATTTAGATAATTTATCTTTTGTGTCTATTTTGCCCTTGCTATTAAATATTATTTATCATCGAACACAGTTTTCAAAGCATTCAATTTAATAACGTCAAAGGATAATATAGTAATATTACCCCTATTATTTATTGTTTCTTAAGAAGTGTGCCACGTCAATAGCGGACAACTATTGTTGGACAAAAGAATATTTTTTTTCCAATTTAACATACCCTTTTATGTATTAAGATGTGTATTACTAATGTCATGGATTTGTAGGTATTAACAATACACTGATTTTAATGCAAGACCACTCAATTTTCCCCCCATTTTTTTCATCATAATAATGGAGGGTATCTTTATAATATTTTTTTTATGTAATGCATGCTACATAAGTAATGCAAGCATACTTAATTCATTTAATAGATCAAACACTTTGTCCCTTAATTATTTTAGAATGAGTTATCCCATCATGTATATGATAACTTATCGCATGATAAACGGTGTAATAAATAATATTTCATCCGTCCATTATTAATTGTCATATTGCGTTTTACGAAAATCAATTTGACTAAAGAGTAAAGGTGTAGCAGAGGTGTGTAATAGGTCACTGTATTAGTTTAAGCGTGTAACTGACTTTTCGAGACAAGTTCGGGGATGAATTTATGCCTTTTCCCTTAAATTAGTTTACATTAATTTGATATTTTAAATAAAAAAAATTAGATATTCAAAACTATACCGAAAAGTACTTTAAATTGCAATTTTTCGCATATCAATATAATGAAAAAATACATCGTAAAATGTTAGTGACAATTAAAAGTGGACGAAGAGAGTACAATGACTACCTAATACCTCTAACCAAACGCGTAATACAATAATCCTACATTTATCCTAAATTTATTATATCTTATACTTTACACCAAACAACTCGTTAGTTCTATAATTAAGAATGGAAAGTGCTAAATGACTAGAATTTTAAAAAAAACTAGAATATTTTTTTTATTTAAAAAAAAAACTGATCATTTTACCATTTTTTAGTTAAAAGGTATTAAAGTTAAAAAAACAAAAATATTTAAAAAGATAAAATAACATAAATAAAATATCAATCTGATTAAATTTTCTGGTCAAAATTTTTTTTCCATTAAGAATTTATAGATAATGCAATATTGTACCTTGTTAGTACATATTATTTACACCACATATTATTGTGTGTTGTTAAAACGTGGTCGGGTACACTTTTCACCCTTCTAAAATAAAAAAACAACAAAGGAAAATGAATGACCTAAAAAGTAAAATACTAAAAAATTCCAAGTTCTCCGCTCTGCTGCGGCGGGTTTAGTCGGCGGGGTAAGCTTTGATTAATCGGATAAGAAGATAAGAGAGGGAAAAACGGCAAAGGTGTGAATGGAATCGAAAGAAGAAAAGGATAGAGTTTTGTTGATGTATTTAGTGGAAGAATGTAATTGGCCCTATTTTCTGAAGAAGAAGATGATTGGTGGAATCAGGTTTCCTGTTCAGATCAGATCTTACAAATAGAGAGAGAAAAAGGAAGCAAATTCCATCTTTTTCTCTCTATTTGATGTTATCCAACACCACTCAGGTCTCTTCTCTTTCTTACCTACCTTTAATTCTATTTTTTTTAATATAATTATTATTGTTGTTGTTTATCTCTATTAATATATTGCATTTCTTACATATGTGTTTCTAGAATTTTTATTTGTCTGTGCCTGCAACTTACATGATTCTCCCCTCATTTTGTGATTTTGGGTTAATTTAATTCATTCTTTTGGCATAAGAAGTCCCAATTTTTATTTTTAGTTTTGAATTTTAGTGTTTATAATTTCAAAGTTTGCATGCACTATCGCCTGATTAGGGGTGTCAAATGGTAAGTTGGATTGAAAATGGAGATATTAGAATGAGTTGCAATAAAAATTGAGTTAAGTTTTGATCCGTCCAAATTTACTTTGGGTTCAAATGAGCTAAAAATTGGATTGGGTCATCCGTTCAATTTGACTCGCTTAATCTCAATAATTTTAATATATTGTTATCTAACTTCTATAGCCATAATGTAAATTTCAATTCAACAAATTTGTTTTAAAAAAAAAGAGTTACAAATGAATAGATAATATTAAAAGATACAAATAAATATTATTTCATACCTTCAATAGAGGAACCTACAATACGTCAATGCAAATAAAGAGTCTTAAAACGAGTTGAAATTGGAGATTAAATTAGGCTTAATTGAGGATTCTCTTAAAATAAGTTAATGCTTGAATGCGTTGATATTGAACCTAATTCAAATTATATTGAGCCCAACACTTAAAATTCTGGATGAATTAAACCGATTATCTATAATTGGGCTCATTTTTGACACTCCTATTTGTGATATTAAGTTTGTGAAGCATGTAATGATATTTTAGGAAAAGTGTGATAGCGTATAAATTTAGAGATACTATAAGATTAATTGAAAACTAGTTTGAATATGTTTGGTATATTTTGAAGTTTTATTCTTGCTAAGAAGAAAAATTCATACATAATATTTCATTAATCTTGAGAGGATATATGATAAGCACTAACAATGATTATTACAGTGTCGTCTAATAGTTATTGAAGTGGTTAAGAATAGGAGATATTTATTTTAAATTTTGAAGCGGTAATATAAACATTACTATGTGATTTCTTTCATTGGTGAAAAGAATTAGTTGACAACTACATTGACTGGAGATAGTAGATACAATATAAAATTAAGTGAAAAAGGATAAATATACTCCAAACTATCGTAAATGGTATGCATATACCTTTCGTCATATTTTTGGGACATTGTTGCCCCTTCCAAAAACTAGAGCATATATGTCACTCACTCTACCGAAAGATTAAATAGAGACACATGGCACAATCTCATCCGTCGATCCGATATTTAATAAATGTCGGGTCGGTGGATAAGATTATCACACGTGTATTTCCGTTAGTATAAATGGTATATATGCTCTAGTTTTTGGACGATAGGGGTACCAATGTCCCAAAAATATGACGAAGAGTATCTGCATACCATTTACGATAGTTCGAATTATATTTGTCTTTTTTTCCTAAAATTAATTGAGATACAATATAAAAGGTTAAGATGTTACATATAAAATCAAAATAGTATAGTTGAAACGAGATAGTGCTAACCAATATTGTTTGGTAGAAGAAGATCTACCAAAGTTGACTACAATTTTTTTATTGGATTGTAAAATGCAATTCATTTTTGAGTATTTAATTTGGTAAGTTTCATCTCCATCACCTACCTTATTTTGGTCGGTGTGGAGTCTATAGTATTTAATTTCAAGATATTCATCCATTTATTTTTTATAAAAAAAAATACAAGTTAAAATATTGGGGTAGGGGAGCGGAAATGGGAGGGGATTACAATGTGGGGATTGGGAAATTAATCTCTCACCAATAAAATGAAAATTCATATAATCAACTAATTGAGCTACTAAGGTTCCTCTCTAGATATTCTTCTATGTTTTGCATCCTGTTAATTTTTTTCCCTTTCGTAAATTTCTATTCCTTTTAAAAATATATACAGACCAGATATGATTTTCACCCTCACTCGACACTTAAACATGAACATTGTGCCTAGTGCTTTACAAAAATCAGAACAATACAAAAGATAAGGTGAAAACACTCCCTGATCAATCCTTCATAGCATCACCCTCTTCGGCTTCATCACCGGCTTGAGCGGGATCTACCTCCTCGTCAGAATCGGACACCACATCCGAGCTAGTACGCAATCTCTCCTCATCGATCAGAATGTCATCGTCAATCGGCTCACGAAACTCAGGACCAATGCCAAGTAGGGCCTTGGCGTGGGCATTCAGCGGATAATGCTTTTCAACATCTCCCAATTGTGTGTCAGTGGAAGCCCGACATCCATTCTAGTGGCGCAGCATCTCTAGGCCATATACCTTGGCCATGATAAGCTTATCCTGCCTATGGCGCTCTACAGTGGTGAGAGTCGGGCCAAACTCAGTGGTGGGCCCCTTTGTCCTCGTGATGTCCACAGGTGTTGGGAATAATGGTGCCATGTAGTCCATGTTCTCTTCTGAACAATTGCAGCACGACACAGACTAGTAATAAGACCACCAAAAGCATATCTGCGCTCCTTATGAACTCGGGCCTTTCGCATCGCCGATTTCAGGACAGCTCCAATGTTCACTCTGTGGCCGTCATCAAGGCATAGACTAAACAGACCATGTCCCGAGTGATATCTGTGTAATGCAGTCCCGGTATCAAACAATGCATCACAATCTTCAGCCAAACCCGAGCCTCTCTAAGCATGTGGGCATAGGGGAGAGATTGGTGATATCGCTTCCCACTATGCTTAGTCTATTGCACCATCGATTGTGGGCCGCCAAGAATATGTCGAATGGCCCGGTATGGTGGGCGTATGTTCAGCCCTGTAAGACTAGTGGGTCCGCATCCGGAGAAGTCCTCACAATGTCATTGAGGACTGCAGGAGTTATAGTCACATTGACACCCCGCACAATCACAAAAAGAGATCTCGCGTCAGGCACCCAGTTGACGTAAAACTCGCGTACCATGTGCAAGTTGCACTCTCCGGACTCTGCGAAGATGAACTCCATATGCAGCTCATGGATCCGCCTCAGTATTTAGGGGAACTCCGATACCAAGTTGTCCCTGTCAATACACACATTAGAAAAATACCTCGCTTCATTGTGCTTCTTCCACCATGTATTGCCTTCTTTGGTCACAACTTTTACCCTGAATCACCTGGTTTGGCCCTTAGGTACTACAGGTGCGAGAGGTATATTCCCCCCACTTGGAACATGTTTCCTTTAGCTAGAGGTCGCCACCTCCTTACCAGGTCTTTGAGTTCCAGACATGGTTACCTGCAATCACAGTACAATTCAGCCCAAGCACAATACACAATATTGATAAACATGGGTGATGTGCGTACACCACCCCACACTTATGTCAATGTATCCCTTAGCCTAGGTAATTAGACTTCCCACAGGCGAACAAACATACACCAATTTATGTGATTTACTTTCCTTTTTAGTCAGTACAAAAAAGAATGACACATTTCTATATTAAGTAAAAATTTAACTATAAAATGTCTATTTTACCCTTAATGAAATAATTTATAGCCACACAAATTTCTGTAATTCATTTTGGACCACAAGTTTTAAAAGTCTTCCTTTCTTTCTTAAACTTCGTGTCGAGTCAAACTACCTCACATAAAATGGGACGGAAGGAGTAACAAATTCACTTTTATTTGTCCACTATTTTAAAAGTTGATTTTCACTTTTACATATTAAGAAATAAAACATTAATGACTTATTTCCTAGTAAAATCTAAAACTATAAATTGTTTTATAAAAGACGTGCAAAGTTTAAAGTGGACAATGCGGAAGTATCAAATAGTTGCATCTATTCGGACCACATACAATGTGGCTATGTGTAGAAATCTGTGGGTTAAGTATGGGATTCGTGTTTTGAAAATAAATGCACATTCAATTTGCCATCCTAATGTGTTGTAAGGTTTTAATAATTAAGCCTTGAACAACCTCAGAGTTCAGACTATGTCTAGAAAATGGAATTGAAATAGTAATACAAGATGCAATTTTTTATTTTTGGTTGCAAAAGAGTTTAATACTTTAATTGTTCTAATGCCTCCCCATGTATAGTTTGTTTGGTGATGAAATTAAAGATTATATGCTTCAAAATTAATTAACTTTAAAACTTGTTATTACTGCTTGAAGCAAAGAAATGTATGAATATAAGTGAAAGTGAAAAAAGTTTAGCATTACATCACATTGACTTTTTTTTATCCTAGTTGTGGATCAAAAAAGAAAAGTATTTGACTTTTTCCCTAGTAGAAGTGTGAACATAAACCACCATTTTATATATAAAAAACTTATGGTCCCTTTTTGGCACAAAAGAGAACAGAAAGAAGATAGGGAAAACGATCCAAGAGATAAAAAAAATACTAGATGATTTTTCATTAAGCTTTGTTCGACAAAATTATCATTCAATTTATATTGTTATTGGATGAATTTTTACTAAACTTTGATCGACAAAATTATCATTTAACTATATTGATCGAATGTAATAGCATTTGATGAAATAGAACATATCTAGTGTCAAAATTTATATATCTTACTAGGTGAAATAGTCAAAACTATTGCCTACATGTCTAATGTCAAAATTATTGTCTATATGTGTGTCAAAATTGTACACTGCAGATGGCAGTGTATTTACTTTAGGCCAATTTTATTGCACTTTCTGGTCCCCTATAAGAAGATAGCACTTAATATCTTTTATTTTATTTGAAGATATTTGCTTAGATATTTCTTGAGTTTTAAAGTGTTAATGACGTTCTTGTTAATCTAGTGAAGATGGAATTAAATACCAACGTAATGGCTAAAAGTTAGAAAAAGTAGCACATTAAAGTTGGAAGTTTTTTAATTTAAAGAGTTCTGAGTGCTTGAAAATTTCGAAAGTGGTACTAAAGAAATGGAGTGGTGCCAAGCATTTTAAGCTGACAAAAACAATAATAGCATACCTGATTAATTTCACTTAACAAATTATTTCA